TCTGGGGAAGTGGCAGTGGTTCCTCCGGCCTAGAGGGCTCTTGTTGGGCCTGCTCACTGCTGGGGCTCCCAGTGGGCTCAGCCTCTTGGCGTTGGTGGTCTTGGGTTGCCGCTTCTTCCTCCTCCTCATCAGCCTCTTCCTCCTCAATCTCCTCCTCGTCCTCACTCACATCTTCCCACTCCTCATCCTCCCCTTCATCCTCCCCTTCATCCTCTTCCCCCTCATCCTCCTCCCCCTGATCCTCAGGAGGCCGGTGGGGAGGGGCTGGGGTCTCAGGCGGCTGTGGGGAACACAAGGAAGGTCAGGGAGAGGGTGAGGGCCCTGAGCACCCCCACAGCCCCTGTCCAGAGAGGACAGCCCGCCCTACCATTGTGGTTGTCTCCTCTGGGGGAGTGGGCTGTGGGGCCTCAGGGGCTGGGGACACTGCCTCCTTTGTCTTCCAGCGGTCATCATGGTCACTGGATAGGACAAAAAGAAGGGGTGAGACCTAGGGGTAAAGGAGGAAGGGGCTTCCCACCTCCAATTCCTTCCCAGAGAAGAAGCACAAAACTCAACTTGGGGGAAAGAGAGGGGCTGTGGGATTTCCAGATGAAGATTTGGCATATTGGAGCACTCAGGAGAAACAGTGGCCATGTGTCCTCAGGTGTCAGGGACAGATAGATTTGGGGGGACGGGGGGGGTCAAGTGGCAGAAGAGGATATGGGGAAGAGGGAAGAGGGGAACAGATGAGAATCAAGTTGAGAGCCAAGCCCCGACCCCCAAACCAAGCGCCTGATCGACAGAGAGACCAAGTGCCCGGAGAGACACACAGACCCACAGTATACAAGTAAGAATGACTGGGACAGGGCCACACAGCCCCACTAGGGGTGTTCACATGCTCAGGGAAGGGGTGATCCACCTGTAGGCATGGGGGTCTGCCTTGGCCTGGGGTCGGCTGCTCTTCCTCCTCCTTCGGCTGACCTCAGCTTTGTGCTGGGACAGGAACTCCCTGAAAGTCGGGGGCTTGGGGGGCCGGGCCCAGGCCTGGTCATCTGCAACAGAACCCAGGAGGGGTTGGGGGTGGGGGGCATGACACAAACCACCTCCCACGTCTGGCTCAACTAGCTTCCTCACCCTAGCCGGAGAGACACCCACTCACCGTAACGGTGAGATGGTTCGAGGGCAGCAGCTGGGCCATCCTTGAACCTAGGGAAAGAGAAAGGGGGTGAGCAGGCGACTGGGGAAACAGTGGGAGCAAGGGGGGTGGGGAGATATAAGGGGGAGAGATGGGGGCCAGGGTCCGAAATCAAGATCATAGAACAGATGTTCAACCAGAGCAGGGGTCACTGATTAGAAGGGGGACAGGATCAGGTGATGAACAAGAGGCAAATTTAACATCATATTGAGAGGGCAGCTGGTTAGCTCAGTTGATTAGAGCGCAGTGCTCATAACACCAAGGTTGCTGGTTCAATCCCCACATGGGCCACTGAGTTGTGCCCTCCACAACTAGATTGAAACAACTACTTGACTTGGAGCTGATGGGTCCTGGAAAAACACACTGTTCCCCAATAAAATAAAAATAAAAATAAAAAAAAACAACCAACCAAAAAAACTATTGACAAATACAGAAAGAAAAAATTCAGTATCTGATCCCCCAGAACAAAAATTTGGGAAGTACATGATCCCCAGCTTCCTGTCTGGCCTCCTTTCCTATTATTCTCTCTCACCTCCCCAGCTAAGCAGGTTCTCCTGTCACCAGGAGCTTCTGCCTCAGGGCCCTTGCACCTGCTGTTGCTGGGATGCTCTTCTGCAGATCTTTCAGTGGCCTGTTTCCTCACCTACTACAGGCCTCAGCTCAGAGATCTTCCTAAGCCCCCATTTAAAATAAACGTTATTTTATTACATATATTATGTAAGTATAAAATAATAGCCTCCATCCCTCTGTGCATTCTGCTTCATTATTCTTCATAACCTGACATTACATCTAGTCACAGCCTATCTTTCCCACTGGACTCTAAGTTCCATGAAGGCAGAAGCAAGTGTTTTATCCACTGCTGTATCTCCATAATCCAGGGCTTTCCATGACACATAAGAGGGACTCAATAAATATCTGACAAAATCAATATACACATGCATTAATGAGACTTGTTGAAGGCTGCTTTGGGAAACCAAGAGAAAAACAATTACTTTCTCATTTTTAACCCTGAGAACACCTCCCAAAAGCCTAGCTGCCTATACCTTAGAAAGATCAGCGACAGTATCTGTGCAAAATACTTTTCACACTTGCACAAGCTTAGCTCACAATCTAAGAAGAAGTATTCTGACCACCAGACACACAGAGAAGATCCTCCTTCTGTAGCCACTGTTAACAATAAAAGTTCTAGGTGTGAAATCTTCCAACACAACACAGGACAGAGGATGGCATAAAAGCTATAGTTGCTGATCTTAAGACTGCCGTTCATTGGCTCTTTCAGAAACTTCTCCACCTTTGGTATGAAAGTTGGTCCTCCTGTCAATGACGTAAGGATACCTTCGCTTCGCTTTAAGTCTGACTGACTGGATTTTTCCTGGACCCGAATAATGACACCATTGGGATAAGGAGCTTGGGTTGGTGAGGGACAGGTTAGAGGGATGAAGGGAGAATGCACAGGTCTAATCGCTGTTAGTGATTCTTCCTGTCCTCCGTTAGCCATGGAGCCACTGCAGTACTATCCACTAGCGTGGGCCATTTAAGTTCCTGCCCCGGTGATGCTGGTCTATTGGCTGATAGAATGGGGAAGTTTGTCCATTCTCCCTTTTGCACTTCTGCCAGTGCCATGACCAGCACTTCCCCAGGGAGATGCTCCCCTCAGCCTGAACCCCAGAATGAACACATGTGGAGCAGAACTGAGTTCAACCTGCATCGAGAAGCCAAGCCCAGCCAGACCCACAGCTGAAAGTCCAGCCTGGATTCGCCGAACCCAGCTGACCTGTGAACACGAGAAAGAGATGCTTTTATATGCCACTGAGACATGGTGGTTACACAGCATTGCCACGGCAACTGCTAACTAACATACAGGGTAAGAAGCTAGAGCAAGTCAAAGGAATAAGAAGTCGGGGCCAAGGAGCCAAATGGGTGAACGAGGAGGAGACTCACATCCCATCGGTCTTCTCAGCATCCCACTCCCGCCGCCACTGGCCAGTGGGCTTGCGGTGTCTCTGCAGCCGCTCCTGGTCAATCTTCTCCCTCTCCTGCTTCCAGCGCAAGTACTCCGACCGCTCCCGGCCCGTCATAGAGAGTGTCATGTCACTGGCACCACCCAAGCCAGCCCGGCGGCCCTGCCCACCAAGGAACAGGCAGTCAGGGCCCTATTTCACAACTCACCCCACCCCACCCCCTCCAAGTACTCAAGGTCACACAAGAAGTATATAGGGTGGGGATCAGAAGCAGGTCTATTCACATGGCACCTCCTCACAGAGGCCATCCCAGATCTCTGGTAAGTAGCACCCCTCTCTATCTTCTATCCCCTCACCCAGCTGGACTTTTTTTGACATTTGGCATTACCTGATACCTTATTATATAGTCATTTATTTAGCTGCCACCAGAATAAACTTGATTAGGGCAGAGGCTCTGCCTGGTTTGGTTTACAACCCTAAGCCCCGGGGCCTCCGACGGTGCCTGGCACCTGGCTGGGTCCCAGTGAACATTACTGATGTTAGGAAGGAGAGGACACGCCCGAAAGGAAGCAGTGTGGTACTGGCACCAGAACTGACAATTCCTGTGGGAATGACAGACACGCTGCCTCTCCCTATTCTGTCTCTCTCGCCACTGTGCCTGAAGCTCAGCACACACCGGGAACGTATGCTGCTGACATCAGAGAACGGCTGCAGAACAGAACATGGCCCAGGGTGCCCCACCTGCCGCTCCTGCTCGAGGCCACAGCGCACCCGCTCGAAGTCGGAACCCCCCCAGTTGCGCCCGTGCCGGCGGCTGCCTTCCCGGCGGTCCCGCTCCGGCTCCTCCAGGGGCCCGCTGCGCCGCCGGGGGTCGTCCAGGAAGTTCCGCACGGGGTTGGGCTCCAGCACACCTTCCTGTGAGCAGAGAGAGCAGGGTGTTGGCAGGCTCACTGGCCCAGGCAGCTCTGCCCCACACAGGGGACGCCCTAGCACTGACCCGCTGGTTACGCTCATATTCCGCAATCTTCTCCATCTCTTCGTTCATCTTCTCGATGTTCTGCCTGCGCCGCTCCTCCCACTCCTGGGGGACAGAGAGACAGCAGCATCAGGAAGAACCACTCAGCTCTTCTGCGCAGAAGAATCAACATGGGGCCGGCTGAGTGGCGCNCCCGCTCCCTCCACCCAGACCCGGGACACCCGCGTTGAGCCTTGCCCTAATCCTGATTGAGCCTGGCTACAGCCGTTCCGCGCTAAGTGGTTTAGGAGCCTCAGACAGCTTTAATTCTCACAGGGGACCCACGGAGCAGCATACACCCCAATAGAAACGTTTACAATCGAGAAGATAATCTAGTATAGCGAGATCACAGTCATACTTGACCAACACGTGGCCCAAAGACAAAGCTCAGCACCCTGGCTTCACCTACCATCCTAAACTGTCTACTTCGACCCTCGCCCACCCCCACCTCAGGAGCCTAAACCAACCTCTATCATGACCACCCTTAAGAGCATCTGCCCTCCTCTGCCCTTGCCCAGGCGCCTCCTCAGTTCTAACCAGACCTTCCTTGGCTCTGCCCCCAAATCCTAACCCCATTCCTGGGGGGAGGTACTTGCGTCACAACCTGGCTTCCACCAGGGGCTGGGGAGAAGACATGGGGTTTGGCCTCTCGCTCCTACTCCCCAGGGCCCAACATTCTAAACGGGTCAGTGTTTCTATTCTAATTTACCCCACTCCTTACACCTCAAATCCCTAATCGCGCTCAATTAAACCCATTTTTCTGCCCCTCCCCATTTTTTTTATCTGTTTCAATCTCTAATCCTGCCATTAGCCCCTCCCCTTGGATCTAGCCCCACCCCTTTGCCTTTAGATTACTTTCCTAAACCGCTGGGGTCCACCGCTGAATCCTAATCCTGCCCTGACTCCACCTCCTCACCCCAAGACCAGTACACACGTTCAATTCCTGGTCGCTCGGGGCCAGAAGTCCTTCCCTCAGCTGCACCCTCTGACCTTGGCTCCCTTCTCACCTCATCCCAGCATTCTAGCCTCACCCCCAGGTTGCTACCCCACACAAGCATGGTGGAGATGCAGCTCCACTCCATCCTACACCAGCCAAGCCCTCCTCCCCTCAGCCCCAGAAGAGGAAGGAGGCAGCCACCTCCAGGGCCCATCAGCTTTCCCACCTGGAACTGCCTCAGACCCCTCCTCTTCAGCTTTCTGGGTTCCTGGGAGACTGGGCCCACTCTCCAGCGAGGCAGGAGCTGGCTGGTCACCTACTGGGGAGGGGGGAGGCCCAGTCAAGCCCCTCCCCCTCCAAATATCCCCCACCCCAAGAGAGAAGGCCCCGGGGAAGTGAGAGGGGGTTCAAGGACACACCTGGGGAATGTCATTTGACAATGTGAACTCTTTATTGG